GCAACCCCACAAGCCCTCCCTCGTTTTGAGTCTGCTCGGAAAATAAAGTAACCTCGAGTTCTCCTCTCCGCGTCAGAGACATCTGGTGTGAACCAGGTCTCTGTGAGTGCGATTATGGACGGTTTTTTAAGGCAAGCTGACTGTTTAACATCGCCGAGTTTATTGAAAAGGCTGAGGCAGTTTGTGTACAAGCATTTCAACACTGCCTCTGATTCCTCCGAGGGTGAGGAGCCGAATGATGTTCCAGTAGTTCACCTTTCATTTCACAATCCACTGGTTTTCGGACAGTACATTTTTGCAGCAGTCCGTGATATATGCTTGACATTAGGCAACCTGGTTGCCGTTTTCGGGACTCGGCCCGACATACGCCTCATAGTTTATCTGGAAGTTCACGTGAGACATACGTAGAAAGTTGCGTTTGATCATCTGAAAAATAGCCGATGACTATTGAACTGCTCTTTCGCGATGGAAGGAGAAAATCATGCTTATGGGGAGCCAACTAAGTTCCATTTGTATCCAAATGCAAACTATCCTCTGGTCCATTTGCACAGTGCACAACAGATGCGATTGACACGTCTCCTCCGGACGACACATGGACAAACTAGTCGTCATCTGAAGGAAGCCGCCTGTCTTATGGGCACTTTTCTGCGGTGTGGATGCCTACTTAAAACGCGATTGCATTGAAATTCAGGGAATTCCGGACACCGGCAAAATGTAAACAAAATTGAGAATCCATCATGGAGTGTATTCGCGTGGGTCGGAGTGGACAGCTATTTCAGAAGGTGTTTCGATGACCTAGTGGAGACTGTAAAAGGAATGTTTGGGTCGAGCTTACTTTTCCCTAAAATTTTTGTTTGAAGAAAAATCTACATTCCGTGACACAGTTAGCATACAAAATCCGCAGACATCAAGCTTATGAAGCGTTGGATCTTCTAGACCTCTCTCGATTGCTCTTGAGGGATCATTATGCATTTGGCCCTTGGTTCGTGTCACGAACTGATTCTTATTGGGCGTATTCGGTTTCCACAAGAATTGTTATACGGTGATGAGAGATTTTGCGTTAAAATGTTTTTGCCAACCTACGATGTTGAATTGCAAGGGATATAGGAAAAGCCGATGTGAGCGTGCATAGTGGTAGCGTGGAAATCAGATGTACAAGGGTTGGCGGAAGTGAAACTCCAAGATGGGTGGACAGACACTACGTGAATGAAGTGTCCGGCCGAGAATATGGGAAGATATAAATTGAAACAACTTTCAACATTAGTAAGGCATTTCTCTATACGTGTGCTAGAACCGAAAAGAGCTATCATATAAACCTTGATTTACCTTGATTTATATGATAGCTCTTTTCGGTTCTAGCACACGTATAGAGAAATGCCTTACTAATGTTGAAAGTTGTTTCAATTTATATCTTCCCATATTCTCGGCCGGACACTTCATTCACGTAGTGTCTGTCCACCCATCTTGGAGTTTCACTTCCGCCAACCCTTGTACATCTGATTTCCACGCTACCACTATGCACGCTCACATCGGCTTTTCCTATATCCCTTGCAATTCAACATCGTAGGTTGGCAAACCCGACCCCTGGTCGTTAGTCTATTAAGCACAAATGCATCCATATCCTGTTCCACATAATCACCTTTCATCACACTAATCGCGACAGACGCCAGCTTTTCTATGTATATTAATGCACATTATCCCATCTGATGTCTCCTCAAACTCCCAATGTTTTACTATTCTCATCCCACCCCCTCATCTCCCCAAGCCTTGAACTTCAGCAGTGCCCGTTTTGGACCTGGTTGGCTGTTATCCACTCCACCTGGCCCATGATCTGTTAATGCCTATCCACTTTGCTGATCCCTCCAGCTCGTCATCCCCACTCACATTTTTCGTAACCCTCGTAACCCAAAGCCACGGGGCCTTAAAAATGATTTTAGATTTTAGCTCAACATGAACGGCTGGATGACGCAAACCTTACTTCTTAACCTCAGCTGATGTCTCTAATGAAGGTTTTGGCGGGTTGAAACGAACTCGTCCCAGATATTGTTGCGGCTGGTCGATATTTTCTCCGTCGCTGAAATTAGAGTCTCCAGTTGGCCAGGTTTGATTATCGAAAGTAGGAAGAAAATAGTTGCGGGAACGCCATCAGGCTGGTTATGGCATTTCCGCCCCATGTTTTCGACGGCATACTTTGGTTATGGACATTGAGACCGAGACACTCGTTTGTTCTATGCTACGGATATCGAGGCACCTGCAAGAGGTGGGACGGTCCATTT